TCTGATGAACGTCTTGGAGCTTTTACAACCGTGTAGATGTACGAGTGAGTGCGATGGCCTCACTTGCGGTACAGTCGTTAGTATGACTGCAAAAGATCACAGTGTAGAAGGCCAATGCACTGTGGAACCAGCTTTCGGCACCTGTGCAGAGACACAGGTTGCGCCGAAGGTTCACCACTCGAAGAGATCGAGTAGACTAGAACACGGATGCACACCAAGAAGGGTGCATCCGAGAAGATAGGTTAGTGTCGTTCAGGATGGACAACACGGTGAAGTGACATCGACTATCAGAGAGTCGATCGTAGAGCAAGCACGCTCGACTGAAAAAAAGTCGATCGAAGAGGACGTGACTGTGATAGTACACGTAACGAAAGAAAATTCCGGCGTTCCTGAGAGAGTCATGTTGATAGTTAGTATCCCCAAGCACCTGCGGATGTGTTTTACCAGGAAATCACCGAGTCAGTGGATGTCTTGGTGAATGACGGATCAAGTGCATGCGCTTATGCACTTGATCTAGTTACACCTCCAAAGTCAGCTGTGGAGGTGGTCAAGTTGACAACGCTAGAATCGAAAAATTCTTTGCGATATCTGCGCAGTGACAAGATCAAGCAGATCTGCGCACTCGTCACAGAGGACGAGTTCGTCGCCGATATTCGGTCGGCACAAGTGTTTACTGAGATCGAACGGGTTCTCAGTAGCCCGTATATGGACGATAGTGTCCTCCATGAGAAGACCCGGGTTGAGCGATACACGTCTCAATCTTGGGAGTCTTTAAAGACAAATCTTTTGCATAAGGATTTGGTGGAATTCAGGAATGTTTTCCTGGAATCCGTGCCATGCGAGCTGTTCAAGGACAATGGCACTCGACATGAGATTGAACTGAAACCTGGTTCGAAATACTGTGTCATGAAGCAGTAGCCACTGCCTCGTGAACAGACCACAGCAATCGACAAATTCTTTGCCGATCGTTTAGCGGCTGGTCATGTGAGGGAATCGACATCCCCACACAGCTCTCCGACCTTCTTTGTGCAAAAGGCTACAGGAGGGTGGCGGATAGTGCACGCGTTCAACAGATCGAATGCTGCAACGGTATCGGCGTCTCAGCCGGTACCGAGGAAGGACGTCAACATAGATGGTATGCCAAAGAATACCATTTTTTCGTCCATGGATCTGATGTATCGATTCTATTAGATGCTCATGCGTGAACTGGATATTCCTTACACAGCGGTGAGCACTCCCAGTGGTATGCTCTGGGAGTGGCTAGTGATGCCACAGGGGCTAAGTAAAGCCCCTGCAACGTTCAACAGATGTGTTACGAACCTGTTGCGATCGATGCGCAATTTCACACCGAGTTACTTCGACGATGTCTTCGTCCATAGCCGGGCCGTGGATGAAAAGACGGACGTGGAGGTTCCTAGAATCCCCGTCCGGAAGGTTCTTACACCAATGCGAGAGCAAAAGTTGTTCGCGAACCTCAAGAAGTGTATATTCGCAGCGAACAAAATGCTACTTCTTGGCTGTATCGTGAGTAAAAACGGCTTACGCCCTGATCCGGAAAAGATCCAGGCGATTTGCGACTGGCCTGTGCCAGTCGACGTCAAGGGGCTTCGAAAGTCCCTTGGCTTGGCAGCGTATTTGCACAATACTCGCGCAACTATGTCGAGATGACTGTACATCTCTTTCAACTTTAAAAGAAAAACGAGAGGTGGTCATCGAGTGCTGAGTGTCAGCACTCTTTTAAAGGCATCAAGAAAAGCTTGATACAATCGCCTGTATCGGTGATTGCATACCAGGACAGACCATTCCATGCAACAAGTGACTCCAGCGATTTTGCTATCGGCTACGCGTTGATGCAGTACGACTCAGACGGCGTTGAGCGCGTCGTCTGTTATCAATCGCGTCAGCTGCAAGTAGCGAGCGTAATTAAGCAGTGCATGAAAAGGAACTCCTTGCCATGAAATTTGCACTGACTAAGTTTCGGGTATATCTCTTAGGAGATAGACCCTTCATCGTTTATACCGACCATGCGTCATTACGCACGGCCGTAAACAGTCCACACCTCTCGCAACGCATGGCGAGGTGGCTATCTTTCTTCGCGGAGTACAACTTCTACGTCGAGTACAAACCAGGACAACTTAATGTCGTCGCTGATGCTCTCCCGCATCGGCTCGATTTCGTGCCGACTGCTCAACCCAACAGAAGGGGTGATACCACTGTAGCGACACTATCAGTGAGTGTTCCGTCGTCGAATCTGCTCGACTAAGTGCGGAAGGCATACGCAGAAGATGAGTCTCTTCTGTAGTTGATGATTTACTTATACAATCCATGTAGTCAAGCTTTGAAAAGCTTGTCGTTTTAATACCGCTCTTCAACCGAACGGTATTCGGTTCGTAGTGGAATGCTGTACTGAACAGCATTCAAAGGCGACACTCCTCGTGTAGTCGTTCCCGCTCATAATGGTTTGCGATTGCGCATCATGTATGAGTGTCACGATGCCCCAACAAGTGGGCATCGCGGTAAAGAAAATACTTACCTCACGGTGAGTCGTGACTTCTACGGGCCCCGTCAGTATGAGTTTGTGCGAAAATACATTCGCGCTTGCGAAGCTTGTCATTGGGTGAAGCCTAGTCCTTCATTACGCGCAGCCTTGTAGCCTCTACCGATTTCGGATGAGTCTTGGCAGTCCGTATCAAAACCTTGACTTTGGGTTTCCCAAAGACGCTCACAGGTATACTGATATTCTTGTGTTTGTTGATCGGTTGAGCAAGATGGTACATCTAGTTGCTGTACCGGAGTCAATCACAGCCCAGTGCTGTGATCGTGTCTCCATTGATTCAATCTTCTGAATAGATGAGATCGTGTCTTCATTGATACGATTTTCTGAATTTATAGGTTCCCCCTTGAACTCGTGTCCGACAGGAACCCCCGCTTCACAGCGTAGCTCCGGCAATTCTTGTTTCGTTCACTTGAAGCTCTCGAAGGTGTCGACTTCTGACCATCCTGAAACAGATTTTCCGACGAAACGGGTCAAATGTGTCTTCACAAATATAGTTCGATGGTACTTCCACTCGTTTACGAGCTGGAGTGAGTTTTTGCAGATGGCGGAATTCGCCATCAACAACTCGGTGCACGCGCATCCACCGTTCTTCGTGAATGGCCTTCTCCATCCACGTTACCTGCATTCTTAGGGTGTGACTCTAGTTTAAGGGGGGAGGTGGACTCGCTCGAACGAAACTGATCTGGTTCTCGCTCATCACACGTCGACAATGGTGCCGACGTGATGGATGCCGATGTCAATGCAATCGAGATCGATGACGACAATGCTGGTATATTCAGCATCGCCAAAGACTGCCACAGTGAGGACGATGACGCCCTCACTGGTGAAGACAACGTTGATTCAGCATTGCAAACGAAGTGCAATGCTGTTGACAAGGATGAATCAGCAGAGGAATTTCTGCTGTTTCGCAAAGCGGTTGTCCGCTTCGTTCAAGACTCTATTGCAGATGCACTAGACCGACAGAAAAAAACGCAGACAAACATGGAAAAGCAAATGTTCTTTCATTCGATGAAGGAGACCTAGTTTTACTGTCTACAGTAAATCTACCAAAACACGTAGTGACAAACGTGGGCGGCAGTAAATAACTGCCCAATGTATTGGTCCATTTCGTGTGTTGGGCCGAATGGGCAACGCATACACATCGAACTGCCCCGTAAGATGCGTACGCATCCCACGTTTTACGTTGGACGTCTCCGCCCGTACTATCAGTACGAGCCCGTCTCGAGATGCGAAGAACACCTCCGCGGTCGAGAGCCGAGACCACCTTCGAGTGTCCCGTTTCAACGAGCCAGTCTGGTCGACTATCGAAGCGACCTTCTCACGCAGTTGAGCGATGTCTCGACGAGATACAGCCAGCTCGTCACGAAGAGAACGAACCGAACATTCGTTCTCAAGTTGCGCAAGCGCAAACACGACACAATAGTTCGAACGATCGTGCGCTAAGGAATTGTAAGTATCCCTTACAAGGGTCATGAAGCTTGTAACGTCGAGCCGTCCATGAGCTAGGTCACCGTGTAACTGTTCTTTTACACGGTTCAGCTCTTGAACATCAAGCTAATCCAATCGTCGAGCCGGACCAGGTGTTCCCGCCACCACCACATCCTTTGGTGGATTCTGGCGGTGGTCAACGCTTTCTGGTGGAGCGTATTTTGAACCACCGCGACTTGAATGGCGTCCGGACGAGTTACCTCGTACGCTGGCGTGGCTATCCACCGGCGTGGGACAGCTGGGAGCCTCGTGCCCAGCTGATTGTTGATGTCCTTGGTCTCGTCGAGCAATATGACGAGACCCACCCACTGCGTTCGAAGAAGGGCCGTCGGAAAATGACCTCCCCGAACGCGAGTACAGAGATTGCAAAGTGTCAATCGCTTCGGCCATTTCAGATGAGATGCAAGCCCTCCAGCAGGGAGCATTAGGGAGGTAAGCCTTCCTAGGGGCACGGTCCGAGTTGTCCAGGCAACTTGGACACGAATCACCCCACGAGAGACAGGGTAATCCTGCCTCTCTTGAAAGCCGGTGCAACTTGTATCGCGCCCCGACGGGGTTGCGTTTCTCAAACCTGATGCGAGCTGCATAAGTTTGGCAAGCCAAGCCTCACGGCCAATGCACTCGATGTTGTGGATGAGGGCATTCCATCCCTGCACCAAGGCTTTGACGTCCCGAACACGGCTACCATTGTACCACCGATGTTTAAAAAACACATCGATGAAGAATTATTTTTCAGCACGAATAGTTTCCGTGTTAAGATCTGGTGGACAAATCTTCCTACAGTCGAACAACGGGATTCGATCCCGTTCAGTAAACATGCCGGCCACTCTATCTAACGCTTTAGATGACGGCATCCAAGGAGTATTCACTTAAGGAGCGTGGCGCAGGACATTTCGGTCCCTGGCCTCTTGATTGGTGCCAGCATGAGCACTGACACCAGTGTTACCCCGATCCCTCAAGTTACCCCGCTCGTGATGATGTACAGGTGCATCACCACCATCTCCACGCGTCCTATCGATGGATGGACTCGCGTGAGGCGAAGAATCGTCAAACAATTGCTCGATCCGAAGATCTCGGTCATGATGCCGCCACGTTGACCAGAGCCGGTCAACCTGGCTCTTGCAGTGTCCGCCCCGGGTGATCCGGGGGCGTGAGGAGTCGCCTTCGAGTCGGATGCATCATCCGACTCGCCAGAATAGATAAGCTCTATTTCAGAGTCATCTAGATTATGATTCGCTGTACCCGCTGCAGACGAAGCGGATGTACCTTTCGCACGTGGTGACTCACAACGTGGACTGTTCACAACAACAGGCGACGAATCACCTGCTGCTGAGGTGTGAGAAGTACTCTCTCCGGTTGCACGCATGCGTGCATCCGCTCTTCTTGCTACTGCAGTAGCAGCTCGCGTGGTTTATGAAACCATGCGTTGGATGGGCAAATGAATGGAATTTGACCAACAAGTGCTCCCCTTCCCAGAGTGATCCAACGGTGGTCACCCTGTCCCAATCAATTCTTTCCAATCAACGGGTGATTAACGGTTAAGGGGGGGGTGATGTAACGGGGTAGCCCGTTACATGATATTGACACCAAACGGTGTCACTAGGGAGATCGTCAAGCGTGACAATTCTCTACCAATATTATCCGAGATGGATAATATTGAAGAAATATTATCCTCTTGTAGGATAATATTCATGTGCTGCTCAAAGATTGGTTGATAAAGACATATCAACCATAGATTACCACCAATCGTTGCTAGACGCGCGTAATGAGTGGTGAGCAGGTTGTCGTCATACGACGCCGTAGATTAAAATAGTTAGATAAAGATTGAAGTTATATTGATAGCTTAACTATAATGAATCAAGTTCTCTTTTTACCCTTTGCTCAATATAGTTGTTGCGTAGATTAGCTTCCTCTGCACGTACTAGTGTATGTAAAGTTTCGCGGCACCCCAAATAAAGGGTGCTCCGTTACACAAAGCCCCACTCGCTGATCGTAAACTGAGATATGCTGGGTCTTCAGAGGACAGTCTTGCATTGAGACATCTGTGACGTGCAAACGGGACGAAGCTGTCCTTAAAAGGATTGCAGCGAGCCACTAAATTCAATTTTGATCAACGATACAGAGAGCTTCGATTGCATTGATCGCGATGATTAGGCAGCAACATGGGAGATTCCGGAGCTCAAGTGGTCTTTTTTCAACAAATTCCATTTCCAACCGTCGATAGATCAACGTCAAAGTGAAAGCGGATTGCCAACCTTGCCCCTTATTATTTAATGTGGCTGGCTAAGCGATGCATGTCCCGGGGGATTTTTTGCATAGTTTAGACAAGTCAATTATTGATTCGTGAATGCCAGGAAGTCGACACAAATGCATGAAAGACGGGTCAAGTCGACCTAGAGTACAGCCTTAGGGTAGACAAACAATTATGGATAGATCAGTGGTTGCTCAAGTTGCAGCACAGACTTGATCACTTCGCGCTGGCGCCCCTTTTGAAAACTCGGATGATTGGTGTTTTTTGCGAGCACATAAGTGTGCGGGAGGCAATCTGCTCAAGTTGTGTGATCCAAAGTGTCGTTCCAGACTCAGTCATTACTTGCTGTGTGCGCCTCTGTGTAATAATAAAATTGACTAGAGGAAGGCACTCAATCGGCCACGAGTACGCCTTCCGAAATGCGTTCGCATTTTAAGCTTATTAACATCAACTCCAGGTACAAGAAGGCAAAGGACACACCCACTACACGGACGAATTCGACATCAATCGAGAAATTGTCTACACCGGGTTGGCCAATACGGAAACATAACTTCCACTCCAGTGCTAAGGGCGCTCTACGATCCTCCTTATTGTCGGTCAACCACGGTTCGAAATTAAGCCACTGCCGACGTTTACGGACGCCGCACGCTGCTGGACAGTTTCACCTACCAGTGAGCCCGACGCCCGACCCGGGTAAATACAGACCGACGGTTACTTACACAAAAATGTAAGGGGCTTTTAGAGGACAAACGGAAACAATGGCCGAACGCCTGGCAACAGACTCATGTGAGACGCCGGCATCTGGCTTGGTGTATTCTAGAAACACATGTATTCAAAGAGAAAGAAGTAGTTGCTCTAAGACCAGAAATGAGAAGATTGTGGGTCAGAAATATGAACCCGAAACAACCACCTCTGAACTTCTAAAGTATTTTATCCTCCAAGTCAACAGGAGTATCTATTTTGCTAGCTTCCCATGAAGCTTTCGCGGCAGTCGAATGGAGCACAGAATTTTGGCACTCCTGTGCGGTCGGAGTGAAGGCCAATATTTGCATTCTCAATGTTTATACACGATTTTTGCATCCTCAATGTTTACACCCCAAATGAAAGAGCAGATAGCAGGATTTATTTACAAGCCTTCACAATTAGAACATTCGGACCGACTCATCTGTCCTTTTGAAATATTTCAACAGTGTTGAGAGCCCACAAATGGATCGTTTGAGTCACTGGACGGCCAGTCGGTCTGAAAGTACTGCATTTAGATTATTGTTGGAGAATACCAAGATGTGTGATACTTTGCTGTTGTGAGACCACGCAGAGATTTGGGAGTCAGCCTCGACTCATCACTACAAAATTTGGACCAACGAGACAGCCAGCATGATAGACCGATTTTACGTCTTACCGGCTTGAGCTCCAACAGTTTTATGGGCCTCCACGAGTACTCCACCTCAATGCTCTGGTCATGGAGAAGTAAAACTACATTTACGAGACAAACAGTCAGAATGAAGCCATCATCACAATCAGCGGCGCCAATTCATTTATCATAAAAACGAGTAAACCGGATCTTGTCCTTCAGGACTTAATGCAGGAAATGATTACAATTGGGGTGGGGCGGGCCCTACACTTCAGAAGCGGGATGCCCACTTTGTTGGCAGCGAACGCTGCATACAAGTGGTGCAGAAACTGAACAAGGGCTCGAACCACGGAAGTGGCTTCAGGTATTGATGTTCATAACATTTCGGATCACATTCGTGCGACGCGTGTTCAAATCTTGCCCAGAGGAACTGCAAAATTGGAAGGTGTAGTCCACAAAAGCCTACTAGGTACGATTGTGGCAGTGCCGAGCTCAAAAAATGGTCATGTCTCAAATCGCGGTGGTCGCGGGGACAAAATGAAGCGGTTGCAAAAGTTTGTGCCAGGCAAGATCATCTTTTTGGCTTCCCAGAAACAGCAAGTTATTGACTTTTTGCCGGATCCTAGAAAAACCTTAATGCTGCTTTCACAGCTTCAGAAGACGTTTTTTGTGAATTACGGAAGGTGGAAGATGACGAGAAAAGCTCGGGAAGGGCTGAAGATAGCACAGAAATCCGGAATTCGCTCCCGAGTACTCTGTCTCAGTTTGATGAGTTGCGCTGGACGATTACAGTGCCTTCCTTGGGCTTAAGACCAGAAGCAATGGATAAGGTTCCCATAGTCAGCTTGAAATCCCTGAAATCGGTTAAATGTTTATTAAGGCTGTAAATGAAAGTGCGTGAACTCCGCGCCTAAGCTGACAGTAGTGTTCAAAAAGGATGATCTTGTGACGTGCGATATAACACGAAAGTGGGCGATCGCGTCAGGTTCAATCTTGTGGTGGTCAAGCGGACAACAGAACTTCGATGCCCATCGGTCGCATGTTTGGAGGCAGCCACTAGCGTTAACGCTACATTGCGAGAAATAGGCAACGCAATAGACGGCAGTTTCTCACCAGGCGGCAATGGATATCAGCAAATCTCGATTAGGGAGGTAGGACCATCTTGTACCGGCTTGGCGACAATTGAAGAGGTCAGTTAAGCTTTTGCGATGAGATTAAAGCGCGTCGCTGTTCGAAAAGGGATCAGCACGTAATATAACAGTCACCCTTCATTTGGGGTGCCGCGAAACTTTACATACACTAGTACGTGCAGAGGAAGCTAATCTACGCAACAGCTACGTTGAGTAAAGGGTAAAAAGAGAACTTGATTCATTATAGTTAAGCTATCAATATAACTTCAATCTTTATCTAACTATTTTAATCTACGGCGTCGTATGACGACAACCTGCTCTCCACTCATTACGCGCGTCTAGCAACGATTGGTGGTAATCTATGGTTGATATGTCTTTATCAACCAATCTTTGAGCAGCACATGAATATTATCCTACAAGAGGATAATATTTCTTCAATATTATCCATCTCGGATAATATTGGTAGAGAATTGTCACGCTTGACGATCTCCCTAGTGACACCGTTTGGTGTCAATATCATGTAACGGGCTACCCCGTTACATCACCCCCCCCTTAACCGTTAATCACCCGTTGATTGGAAAGAATTGATTGGGACAGGGTGACCACCGTTGGATCACTCTGGGAAGGGGAGCACTTGTTGGTCAAATTCCATTCATTTGCCCATCCAACGCATGGTTTCATAAACCACGCGAGCTGCTACTGCAGTAGCAAGAAGAGCGGATGCACGCATGCGTGCAACCGGAGAGAGTACTTCTCACACCTCAGCAGCAGGTGATTCGTCGCCTGTTGTTGTGAACAGTCCACGTTGTGAGTCACCACGTGCGAAAGGTACATCCGCTTCGTCTGCAGCGGGTACAGCGAATCATAATCTAGATGACTCTGAAATAGAGCTTATCTATTCTGGCGAGTCGGATGATGCATCCGACTCGAAGGCGACTCCTCACGCCCCCGGATCACCCGGGGCGGACACTGCAAGAGCCAGGTTGACCGGCTCTGGTCAACGTGGCGACATCATGACCGAGATCTTCGGATCGAGCAATTGTTTGACGATTCTTCGCCTCACGCGAGTCCATCCATCGATATGACGCGTGGAGATGGTGGTGATGCACCTGTACATCATCACGAGCGGGGTAACTTGAGGGATCGGGGTAACACTGGTGTCAGTGCTCATGCTGGCACCAATCAAGAGGCCAGGGACCGAAATGTCCTGCGCCACGCTCCTTAAGTGAATACTCCTTGGATGCCGTCATCTAAAGCGTTAGATAGAGTGGCCGGCATGTTTACTGAACGGGATCGAATCCCGTTGTTCGACTGTAGGAAGATTTGTCCACCAGATCTTAACACGGAAACTATTCGTGCTGAAAAATAATTCTTCATCGATGTGTTTTTTAAACATCGGTGGTACAATGGTAGCCGTGTTCGGGACGTCAAAGCCTTGGTGCAGGGATGGAATGCCCTCATCCACAACATCGAGTGCATTGGCCGTGAGGCTTGGCTTGCCAAACTTATGCAGCTCGCATCAGGTTTGAGAAACGCAACCCCGTCGGGGCGCGATACAAGTTGCACCGGCTTTCAAGAGAGGCAGGATTACCCTGTCTCTCGTGGGGTGATTCGTGTCCAAGTTGCCTGGACAACTCGGACCGTGCCCCTAGGAAGGCTTACCTCCCTAATGCTCCCTGCTGGAGGGCTTGCATCTCATCTGAAATGGCCGAAGCGATTGACACTTTGCAATCTCTGTACTCGCGTTCGGGGAGGTCATTTTCCGACGGCCCTTCTTCGAACGCAGTGGGTGGGTCTCGTCATATTGCTCGACGAGACCAAGGACATCAACAATCAGCTGGGCACGAGGCTCCCAGCTGTCCCACGCCGGTGGATAGCCACGCCAGCGTACGAGGTAACTCGTCCGGACGCCATTCAAGTCGCGGTGGTTCAAAATACGCTCCACCAGAAAGCGTTGACCACCGCCAGAATCCACCAAAGGATGTGGTGGTGGCGGGAACACCTGGTCCGGCTCGACGATTGGATTAGCTTGATGTTCAAGAGCTGAACCGTGTAAAAGAACAGTTACACGGTGACCTAGCTCATGGACGGCTCGACGTTACAAGCTTCATGACCCTTGTAAGGGATACTTACAATTCCTTAGCGCACGATCGTTCGAACTATTGTGTCGTGTTTGCGCTTGCGCAACTTGAGAACGAATGTTCGGTTCGTTCTCTTCGTGACGAGCTGGCTGTATCTCGTCGAGACATCGCTCAACTGCGTGAGAAGGTCGCTTCGATAGTCGACCAGACTGGCTCGTTGAAACGGGACACTCGAAGGTGGTCTCGGCTCTCGACCGCGGAGGTGTTCTTCGCATCTCGAGACGGGCTCGTACTGATAGTACGGGCGGAGACGTCCAACGTAAAACGTGGGATGCGTACGCATCTTACGGGGCAGTTCGATGTGTATGCGTTGCCCATTCGGCCCAACACACGAAATGGACCAATACATTGGGCAGTTATTTACTGCCGCCCACGTTTGTCACTACGTGTTTTGGTAGATTTACTGTAGACAGTAAAACTAGGTCTCCTTCATCGAATGAAAGAACATTTGCTTTTCCATGTTTGTCTGCGTTTTTTTCTGTCGGTCTAGTGCATCTGCAATAGAGTCTTGAACGAAGCGGACAACCGCTTTGCGAAACAGCAGAAATTCCTCTGCTGATTCATCCTTGTCAACAGCATTGCACTTCGTTTGCAATGCTGAAACAACGTTGTCTTCACCAGTGAGGGCGTCATCGTCCTCACTGTGGCAGTCTTTGGCGATGCTGAATATACCAGCATTGTCGTCATCGATCTCGATTGCATTGACATCGGCATCCATCACGTCGGCACCATTGTCGACGTGTGATGAGCGAGAACCAGATCAGTTTCGTTCGAGCGAGTCCACCTCCCCCCTTAAACTAGAGTCACACCCTAAGAATGCAGGTAACGTGGATGGAGAAGGCCATTCACGAAGAACGGTGGATGCGCGTGCACCGAGTTGTTGATGGCGAATTCCGCCATCTGCAAAAACTCACTCCAGCTCGTAAACGAGTGGAAGTACCCTCGAAGTATCTCTTTGAGGATGTGTTGTACATAATACGCCTTGGCATGACGTTTCAGAAAAGTGTTCTGTAGCTCAGCTGGTTCGGTATGGCAGTACCATCCCAAAGGTCACTGGTTCGTTCCCGGTGGGGCATGCAAACAAAAAATAAGCCTTCGGGATCTGGTGTTTGGGGTTCACCAGCACTGTCCTGCCAGACAGTGACGTCCTCCACTTTCGGTACGTTTAGGTGTTTAGAAATGCATGACCAGAATTAGAAACGTACGACTAGACGATTAGTAATACGCGATGTGGTGATTACTAATGTGCGACTAGACGATTAGTAATGTGCGATGTGGCGATCAGAAACGTATAGTCGATGAATCAAGTAGGCTTAGAGTAGCAACAGAGTTTGCGAACTAAGTACCTAAATATATTCACTTTGCATTTCACCAGCTTTGTGCAACGACTTTAGGTTGTGAGCTTAAACCCTGCAGACTCTGCCCAAGACCTCGACCACGCTTTCTCCATGGACGCCATGCCGATCACCACCGCCCGCATCAACAGGTTCGCCGGAACAAACTTCCATACGTGGAAGTTCAAGATGCAGATGGTGCTGGAGGAGCGAGACTTGTGGGATGTCGTGAGTGGGGAGGTGAAGCTTAAGCACTGCGTGTCGACATTGGACCAAGCCACGTTCAAGAGGAAGTTGCGTAAGGCACTGGCGATCATCTGCCTCGCAATGGAGGACTCGCAGTTGCCACTGGTGCGCTCGGCGGAGAATGCGTATGATGCATGGTCGCGTCTGGAGGGACACTACGAGAAGAAGAGCTTGGCTAATAAGCTCTTTCTTCGTCGCCGTTTCTTCACGACAACGATGGGAGAAGGTGATGACGTGCTAGAGCACATCAACAAGCTCAAGACCCTGGCGGAGCAACTGGACGCGGTTGGTGCTCCGGTCAGCAAAGACGACTTGGTCATCACTCTTTTGGCCAGTCTCAGCGAGTCCTATCAGTTCCTGATAACGGCGCTGGAGTCAAGATCCGACTCGCTGACATAGGATTTAGTGACGTCTCGGCTGACGCATGAAGACCTGAAGCGCAAGGGGCAAGGTGGCGGAGTCGATGGATCCGTGCATGGGCAAGCTCAAGCGTTCATGTCAAGAGACAACAAGCGAAACGGACGACCAGGAAAGAAGACTGGTGCGTGCCACAAGTGTGGGAAACAAGGACATTGAAATGCAGAGTGCTTCTCGCGGATCCAAGAACGTGCGGAACGACATCGATTCCAGCGTGCGAACGTGGCGCAAGATGAAGATCTTGTCGATTATCTGTTCTCGGTTGGTGGTAAAGTCGCCAAGTCGAGTAACGTGTGGCTGGTCGACTCGGGTGGGACGCAGCACATGACGAGCTCCAAGAAGATCATCAAGAGCTACAAGGTCTTCAATCCAGTCGATGTGCACTTGGCAGACGATGGTGTCGTTCAAGCGATCGGAAAAGGCGACATCGTGATATCAATGAAGACGCCACGCGGTATCAAGAAAGGTGTGCTCACGGACGTGTGGCATATCCCGATGTTATCGCGTAATCTGTTCTCCGTGGGTAGACTCACCAAGGACGTCGGTTAGTCACCTTCGAAACCAACGGATGCTTCGCGAAGACGAAAGGTATCAAGTGGAAGCTCGGTGCTCGCGAAGGCAAATGGCTTTTCAAACTCTGCATGACGCCAGAAGCGTCTAACGAGAAAGCTTATCGATTCGAAGAGATCAGGAGTGGTCGTGTGCTGGTCAGTCGCGACGCACAGTTTATGGAAGACGTCTTCGACAGTGGAAGACGCGACTACGTTCAAGCCGAAGTAGTTCTAGAAGATGAAGAAGGTACAACGGATGAAGACTCATCGTGTTCCAACAAAGAAGAAGAAGAAAACGTACGGGATAAAGACATGATCTTCGTGGCACTTTACGTCGACGATTTGGTTGTCGCGAGCAACAATGACGAGCTGCTCAAGTCAACAAAGAAGGCGCTGGGTGATCGTTTTGACATGACGGATCTGGGATATCTCAAGTTTTTTTCTCGGTATGAAAGTTGATCAAGATTTCACGGTCGGCACAATATCGATTCGTCAGTCCAAATTCGCGAAATATATTCTCGAGAAATTTGGCATGGAACATAGCAATCCAGATAAGACTCCAAAAGAACCCGGGCTAAATCTGAAAAGGTCCATGTGCGAAGGAGGATGCAAGCACAAAGACACGATGGCAAATGTTCCATACCGCAATGCTGTTGGATGCCTGATGTACCTCATGGAAGGGACTCGCCCGGATCTCGCAGCTGCAGTGGGAGTGCTCAGCCAGTTTTCAGCTGACCCTTGTCCGACACATTGGCAAGTACTTAAGCGCGTGTTCAGGTACGTCCAAGGCACAAAAACCTATGGGATTGAATTCCAAGCCACAAGCAATGACAAGCTTCAAGGCTACTCAGATGCAAACTGGGCTAATGACGTGGAAACTCGACAAAGCACAAGTGGATACGCATGCCTGATGAACAATGGGTGTATCAGCTGGAGAAGCAAGAACAGCGTACAGTGGCTCTATCGTCTACGGAAGCCGAGTACATGGCGCTGACAGAAGCCACACAAGAAGCAGCATGGCTTAAGGCATTTTTGTGTGAGATTGGTGAAATGAAGAACGACGAAGCTGCCAAGATCTATGAAGATAACCAAGGTTCCCTTGCTTTGGCCAAGAACCCCGAATTCCATAAAAGACGAAACATATCGACATCCGGTATCACTTCGTGCGCGAGAAGGTAGCAGACGGCTAAGTGATGCTACAGTACTGCGCTACGAAGAACATGAAAGCAGACCTCACGACAAAGCCGATCCCCGCTGCGCAGTTTGAATATCTTCGGGGCAAGCTGGGGATCAAGACGCCACAGTCTGCCGAGGCGAGTGGGAGTGTTGTAAATCGTACGCCTTGGCATGACGTTTCAGAAAAGTGTTCTGTAGCTCAGCCGGTTTAGTATGGCAGTACCATCCCAAAGGTCACTGGTTCGTTCCCGGTGGGGCGTGCAAACAAAAAATAAGCCTTCGGGATCTGGTATTTGGGGTTCACCAGCACTGTCCTGCCAGACAGTGACGTCCTCCACTTTCGGTACGTTTGGGTGTTTAGAAATGCATGACCAGAATTAGAAACGTACGACTAGACGATTAGTAATACGCGATGTGGGGATTACTAATGTGCGACTAGACAATTAGTTATGTGGGATGTGGCGATTACTAATGTGCGACTAGACGATTAGTAATGTGCGATATAGCGATCAGAAACTTATGGTCGATGAATCAAGTAGGCTTAGAGTAGCAACAGAGTTTGCGAACTAAGTACCTAAATATATTCACTTTGCATTTTACCAGCTTTTTCCAACGACTTTAGGATGCACTTAACGTGTTCCGTCTGACCATCTGTTCTGGATGGTCAGAAGTCGACATCTTCAATCGTGTTCCAAAATGAATGGAACACGGATTGCCAGAACCTCGCTGTGAATCGGGGTCCCTATCGGACACGAGTTCACGGGGTAACCCGTGAAGTCGGAAGATAGTATCGATGAAGACACTAGCACAGCCCTGGGCTGTGATTAAATCCGTTGCAGCAATAAGATGTACCATCTTGCTGAACCGATCAACAAAGACCAGAACACCAGTATTCTTGTGAGCGTCTTTAGAAAATCCAAAGATGAAGACCATCGATACGGACTGCCAACACTCTGCCGGAATTGGTAGAGGCTGAAAGGTGTGCACGGGATGAAGGACTATGCTTCACCCGTTGACAAACTTCGCAAGCGCGAACGTATTTCCGCACAAAACTCATACTGACGGGGCCAGTAGAAGTCACGACTCACCATGAGGTAATTCTTTTCTCTACCGCGATCCCCATTTGTTGGGACATCGTGACGCTCATACATGATGCACAATCGAAAATGGTCATGAGCGGGAATGGCGACACGAGATGTGTTGGCGTTGAGTGCTGTTCAGTACAGCATTCCACTACGAACCGAATACCGTTCGGTTGAAGAGCGGTATTGAGACGACAAGCTTTTCAAAGCTTGATTACACGGATTAGACACGTAATCCATCAATCGCAGAAAGGAATCATCTTCTGCGTACACCTTCCGCACGTCGTCGAGCAGATTCGACGACGGAACGCTTAATGTTAGTGTTTCTACCGTGGGATCACCCCTACTGTTGGGTTGAGCAGTCGGCACGAAATCGGGCCGACGCGAAAGAGCATCAGCAACGACATTAATTTGTCCTGGTTTATACTCGACGTAGAAGTTGTACTTCTCGAAGAAAGACAGCCACCTCGCCATTCGTTGCGAGAGGTGTGGACTGTTTACGGCCGTGCGTAATGACGCATGGTCGGTATAAACGATGAAGGGGCTATCTCCTAAGAGATATACCCGAAACTTAGTCAGTGCAAATTTCATGGCAGGGAGTTCCTTGTCAAGCAATGGATAATTTCGCTCAGCTTCTTGCAGCTGACGCGATTGATAACCGACGACGCGCTCAGCGCCGTCTGAGTCGTATTGAATTAAGGCGCAGCCGATCGCGAAATCGATGGCGTCCCAGACCACACGGAATGGTCTGTCCTGGTATGCAATCGCCGATACAGGCGATTGTATCAAGATTTACTTGATAGGCGATTGTATCAAGATTTACTTGATACCTTCGAAGGAGTGCTGACAATCAGCACTCGATGACCACCTCTCGTTTTTCTTTAGTCGACAGAGAGATGTACGGTCATCTTGGCATAGTTGCGCGAGTACTTGTGCAAGTACGCCGCTAAGCCAAGGAACTTTCGAAGTCCCTTGACATCGACTGGCACAGACCAGTCGCTAATCGCCTGGATCTTTTCCGGATCAGGGCGTACACCGTTTTTTACCCACGATGCAGCCAAGAAGTGGTATTTTGTTTGCTGCGAATTTTCACTCCTTGAGGTTCGCGAAGAAATTTTGCTCTCGCATTATTGCAAGAACCTTTCGGACGCGTATTCTATGAACCTCCACGTCCGTCTTTCCATCCATGGCCCGGCTATGGACGAAGACATCGTCGGAAGTAACTCGGTGCGAAATCGCGCACCGATCGCAACAGATTCGTAACACCTCTGTTGAACGTTGCAGGGGCGTTACTTAGCCCCTGTGGCATCACTAGCCACTCCCAGAGCATACCACTGGGAGTGCTCACTTGCTTTGCAGGACGTCCCGTTCACGCATGAGGATCTGATAGATTCCATCCATCAGATCCATGGATGAAAAGATGGTATTCTTTGGCATACAATCTACGACGACATCCTTTCTTGGGATCGGCGTAGGATGCTGGTACCGTTGCAGCATTCAACTTGCTAAATGCATGCACTATCGCTACCCCCAGTGGCCTCTCGAAGGCATGGATCACAACGTCAAAACTTGACCCGACTTCTCCGGTCGATGGCTGCAGCTTCATGTATCAAGCTTGATCTCGTTCCCGTGCGCCCCACTCTTTCAATTCTATCTGCCTCGATGTGCAATTTTGAGTATTTCTCTGAATCTACAAAATCATTCGTATCGCTGATTTCCATCGCCTCAATGGGCGCTGCAGCTGAATGGTTTTCTAAGCATTGAGCCGACGTTCACGACGAGCTGCGTCTTCACCAACTTACTTATCTTTCGTATATGCACCCCAAATCCTTTTTTCGCTGCTAATTCCAATGGATTATGCAAATTGCAATAGCTGCGTTAGCGAGTTCTTTTGAGGATCCTGCACGTAAAGCATATGCTCCCAAACACAAAAATCATGCCAAGACCGAGGGCTTGCATCGTCAAAAATCGATTGGAGGTTTTGCGTCCTGTATTGGATCGCGTCTGGCTTCTATTCAGGATGTAATGCAAGTACTTAACTGCGTATATCAGAATTTGAGATATAGTTGACTATAGAAGATCATAAACGTGCCATGTTAGATATCGTTCAAGTGTATAAATTTAGCTTTGCCGTTAAATGGTTGGTTCCGCGCTTCGCTACTTTTCGCGCAATGTTTGTGCGCTGGCACATCTAGCCATCTCCTTCCGTTCACAAGATGCGTATCTTGCACTTAGAAGTGCGCTAGAAAGTATTACGAATTCCTCGAATCTTATCGCGGCCATTTTCTTCCTTAAGGTGAGTATTACGCGGCTGTAGTTCGATTTGTGGTCGATGAAGTTGATCAGGTAGCAATTTTTAAGTCGATCTCCTGAAGTTGGCTTACCTTGTAAATCCGAGCAACTATTTCACCCATCCTATCGATAGACAAGTCGTTCCTAGTGTACATCCCGAGACTGTTCGTTCTTCGTCTTCTCCCCTTCTTTGCAAGAATAAAAAATAGTCCTGTTGTGGTTCTTAAATCTTGATACCCGATCCCAGGTGTCTTTGCCATGCGATCAGTCGTGTCAAGAGACAGATTGCCATATGTGAAAAAGAATTGCGCAAGAGATCAGGTCTGCACATCGTCTTGCTGTCATACTAATTTGTGTCCGAACGCAGAAGTGCCAAAGCATCTCTTGGTATTTTTGTTCCACTGGCGTCGCTGATGATTTGACGTACAGCACTTATCGCCTGCATCCTGATGTCAAGTACGATCTCCTCATCTCTGCGTAGCAGTGGGTGGTGACCCTATCTTCTGCAGACGATCCTAAACCCTATTTGCTCGAGTTTCCCGTACTAGACGATGTTTATCGCAAGATGTGGCTCCACAAAGACATCGATGAGAATGATCGTTCGAACTGTACCCTATTGCAATCTCGCTCACCCGGACACTTCCAGCAATGACTATTCATCGTGACATGGCGTCTGCCATCGAAATCTCGTGGTCGCACTGATCGACGCCCTGCACTAGCGGGGAATCATATACCAAATGTCTGCTCGAGCCGCTATCCATTATCCAGTCGCTTGGCTTGCTGTCGTCTACATCTCCGACTGCATCCACGGAATCGGTTGGCGTCTTTTTCTTTTTCCTTCCGCTTGCTCCACGCCTACGAGATTTGTCATAGCTTATTGCAAGGATCATGTATTCATCGTTTGTATCAGTTTTGTTGCCAGCAGTTTTCTTTCCCTTGTCCCGGAAATTCGCTAGAATGTGTACTATCTTGCTACACCTTAGCAAATGCGTGACTATTTACACTTAGAAGACGGATCTACATGCGTAGCAACAATTTCACGCCGATAGATCACTTCCAAGCTCACTAAACGTCGCAAAATGTGTCAATTCTTCGGCATGTCTTAAGATTTGCTCCGTGTGAGGTCGTACATGGCTCGCATCACATTCATGAGATCAGGCGAAGTGTGATGAACTATACTGTCTAGTACCAGCGAGTCATCACCTCCCCGTGCATCACTTACCGCGTCAAGGTCAGGAAATACTCCGCCAAAGACCTTTTTGCGTCTTTCTTTTGCGAACATGTTTTATAGACTGGACTGTGGTGATCGTCATCTTAAAAGTCTCCTTCCAGCGGCCCATCAGGTAGTACACTGTTGGATTCTAGTTTCACCAGATATCGACTTGCTTGTGGTAGTAGCTCGTGGATGTATTGGCTAATGGCCTAGTAAGTCCACCTTGAAGCCTTCGCTCCACCGAAAAACGCACGATGCGTCGGCCAAGTTGACTTGTCACAGGAATGTTGTTTTTGAGCAAAGGAAATGGATCCATAACAGGGTTTTAATTCTCTTATTGTCGAATCTACGGCTCGTTAGATTGCGTGGGCTGCCGTAGGTGTCACATACGTAGTTCATAGCCCCTTACTGCTGAAGTGGCGCTGCTAGAATTTTACTCGAGGAAGTGTCTCGTTAGTTAGTAAGGCTGCCCATGCGCTTGTTACATGTACGGCATCGGTAAAACACGTCACTAGGGATAGGTAAAGGGAGGCTTCAAGTTCGATTGATGGTCCTGGAGCCCGCGCTTCACGATCCACTTGTTCGCACTCAGATGAGTGTCTTAGCGCGTCGAATTTCATCGTCTTTGCGTTCACATTCGCGCCTAGAGCCAATGCAAACATACCACCTTCTAAGGCATCATGCACACGCCCCCCTCTCCGTACACCAATTTAGTCTCCATATTCTCCATGTGGTCAAAGAGGGCGGCGAGGGCGCGAGAATCTATTCGTCCGTTGATGATATCCTTAGTGGGCCGGCGAGTATCTAACGACAGCCGCGGTGCGCAGCGGAATAGAGGCGTGTCTTGGGAAGTCAGCACGTAACGACGAGTCCCCTTATGAAACATTCTGTCACCTGTAGGGCCTTGGCGTCGTCTAATATTGCCTATGTGTAACGGGGCACCCTGAAGCTTTGTACTGGTGACAGTACAAGCTACCATTTATTCTGATGACAGAATAAAGCGGTGCCTCGTAACTTCACGTACACTCGTACGTACAGAGGAAGACGGTAAGAAGAAGCGGAGTACTTGGTTAGAGTAAAAAGTAGAACTGTATTTATAATAGTTAATGTCTGCAATAAATCACTATTTATCTTCATCTAACTATGTCTAAACACAAAATGTGTAAATCAATTATCTGCTCACCACTCATTGCGTGCGTCTGTCGTGGCGCGTCTTCGTTGGTTGATATAATGGCCTATATCAACCAATTAGGAACTACTCGTAAGTGCTACAGAATATTTGTCCTTATGACAATATTCTGAGAATATAACTCTTATAGTTATATTCTATTAACCATTTCTTACCTAAATTGTTATGTAACGATTCACCCCGTTACATCACCCCCCTTAACCATCAGTCACTTTAGTGACTGATTGACTAAATGGATACTCGTCCCAAATCATTTGGGACAGGGTTTGCACTTGTTGGTTCGAGTCCACTTTCCAACATCTCATCGCATGGTTAACAAGCCCATGCGGTGCGCGAACTGGGCCGCCGAGAGCGCGTCCGCACGTCTGTGCGGGCGCCGAAGCAGAAACGAACAGCAACTGATGTCTCATCGGTTTGCTGAAGCGACCAGCCTGTATCACTTGGTGATGCAGGCGCTGATCATGAAGACACTCGTGTCTTCACGGAGTACGAGCTCGGTGTCTCGTACTCTCCTGATACGGAGGACGGATCCGTATCGACAACGATTGAATCTAAGCCTCCTGCCAAGCGTGGCATGGACGATGCTTTTGCGTCGCAGCATCTTTGGTTCATCTGATGAATCAGATGAACCATCCCGAAGCGAAGGCGCTCGAGGTCGCGAGACTCGGGCGCTAATAGTGGTATCGGTTCTCCTATGGACATTACTTCGCAACGAGGTTCCATTCCTTCTGTCGGCACATCGCAGGAAGCGCGGGACCGCAATGTCTTGCGTCTCGCTCCAGAAAAGAAGGCATGGATGCCTCCAAAATCCGTCATGGATCACTTGTCGGCGACGACGAGTGATCGTTATCGTACACGATTGTTCGATTCGTCAGAGATCCATCACCTTGACCCCAGCGCGAAAAACTATCGCGCTGAACATGATTTCTTCATCGATGCTTTCTTCAAACATCGATGGTACGAGTGGGAATCACAAACGTGATGGTCCCTCACTACTTCAGGCGTGGAACGCCTACATCCATAACCTTGAGGATGTAGGTCGTGACGCTTGGAACGAAAAACTTATCAAAGCTCGTGATAAGTTGAAAAGCGAACCCCGACAGGTGCACGCTACAAGCTGCATCGTCTGTCAAGGGAGAAATGATTACCCTGCCTCTCTTGGGGAGACTCTTGCCCATGTTGTGTGAACAACTCTGCACGAAGCACCTAAGGGGAGGCTTACCTCCTACCAGCCCGTGGTGGCTCGTACGTATCTCTACTGAGATGTACGAAGGGATTGACAACCTGAAATCCCTTTATGACCGTGCCGGGAAGACTTTCTCCGGCGGTCCTTCTGCGGCACAGGATGTGCCGCGTCGTACTACTCAGCCAGACCCAGTACGTCGATCATCAGTTGGGAGCAGGGCTCCCAAGAATCCCAGGACGGGGGATAGCCGCGCCACCGGACGGAGATAACTCGTCCGACGTCCGTTCACGTCGCGGTGGTTCAACAGCTGCTCAACTAGATAGCGCTGGCCACCGCGAAGAGTCCCTCTAATGGAGGTGGAGGAGGAGGGAAGACGCTCTCCACACGATCATGTGGATCGGTGTGTTCCCGAGAGCTTCTTTGATCGCGTAACGCAAGGGTTACGCGACGATCTCGACATGAGCGGAATAGGCGTCTCCAAATGGCGGACACTGCCTCGAAGCATCGAGCTGAGTTTGCCTTTGCTCAGCTTGAGAACGATAGATCTCTGACATCTCTTCGTGACGAGCTAAGGGTAGCTCGTGGGATTGTTGATCGGTCTCGGGCTGAGATAACTGCTCTTCAGACCCTTGTTGATGCCCACCATCGGGAGCACAAGGCTCTCTGCGAGATGCTTGAGCGCAAGGGCGTTCTTCATCGGAAGAAGCAGCGTACTGATGGTACGGCTTAAGTCGACCAACGTAAAACGTGGGATGCGTTCGCATCTTACGTGGCAACTCGATCGTGTATGCATTGCCTAGGCGGTGCAATACACGAAAAGGGCCGATGTACTTGGGTAGTAGTTTACTGCTACCCAAGTTAGTCACTACATGCTTTGGTAGATTAACCGTAGACAGTAGGACTAAGTCACCTTTATTAAATAAAAGAGTGTTTGCCCTTCCATTCTTGTCAGCGTTTTTCTTTTGCTTATCCATCGCTTCGGCGATGGAGTCTTGCACGAAACGGACTACCGTTTCACGAGCCAGTATGAACTCATCTGATGACTCGTTAGCTTCAGTGTGCTGTGATCGCACTGCAGCAACATCAACCTTTTCTTCAGTGAGGGCTTCCCGCACTCTCACTGGCATCATCTTCTTCAGTGAGGGCTTCCGCACTCTCACTGGCATCAACTTCTTCGATATCGATGTTATCGATATCGGCATCAAACGCAATGACCTCTTCGTCAGAGCGTGATGAGCGTGAACCAAATCGGTTTTTGATCGCGCGAGTCCCTCCCCCCCTTAAACCAGAGTTACACTCTAGTAAGGTGGGTACACGCGGATGGCGCAAGCCATTCACGTAAAACGGTGTATGGGTCGTGGACGCATGCACCGAGTTGTTAATGGCAAACTCTACCATTGGCAAAATCTCACTCCAACTCTTAAAGGAGTGTACGTATCCTCGAAGTATCTCTTCAAGGACACGATTGGCACGTTCCGTCTGACCATCTGACTCTGGATGATCAGATGTTGACATCTTCAAGCGCGTTCCGAGTGATTTGAACACGGAACGCCAGAAATCAGCAGTGAATCGTGGATCTCTGTCTGATACGAGTTCACAGGGGCAACCCATGAAGTCGGAAGATGGTGTCAATAAAGACACAAGCACAGCCACTTGCTGTGATTGTCTCTCTAGTACAGCCACAAGGGTGTAACATTTTGCTGAATCTGTCAACAAATACGGAGAATCCCCGTATTCCCGCGTGCGTCTTTGGGTAACCCGAAGACGAAATCCACTGAGATGGATTCCCAGCACTCAGCCGGAACCGGTAGAGGCTGTAAAGGTTCACGCAGTGAAGGACTTGACTTCACTCGTTGACAGACTTCGCATGCGCTAACATACTTTCGCACAAACGGATACTGGCGGGGCCAGTAAAAGTCTCGACTTACCGTGAGATATGTTTTCTCTCGGCGACGATGTCCTCCTATAGGAGCATCGTGATACTCGAACATGATCCGCAAACGCAGATCAGTATCATCTGGAATGACAACACGTGGTGTGTCACCAGAAACGGCTGTATAGTACAGTAAACCGTTACGAGTAGTGTATCGATCTGATGCGGATCGATACGCAGGCGATTCAATCGTTTCAACGATTCTCGGGATGGTTGGGAGAGATGTGTCAACAACTTCACAATCTCACCATCTTGGGCGTAGCCCGCCTCACATCATCATACAACGTTGTAGATGGGACTGGGGACGTCATAACCGCAACAGTGACTGTCTCACTGTTGGGTTTCACGACTGGTTCAAAGTCGGGACGACGTGAGAGTGCATCAGCGACGACATTAAGTCGTCTGGTTTGTACTCGACCGTAAAGTTGTATTCTGCAAAGAATGACAACCACCGCGCCATTCGTTGTGGAAGGTGCGGGCTGTTCACTGCCGTGCGTAATGACGCATGGTCAGTGTAAACAATGAAGGGGTCTATCTACTAATAGATAGACTCTGACCTTTGCGAGTGAATACTTCATGGCAAGGAGTTCCTTGTCATGCACTGGATAGTTCCGCTCAGCTGGTTGCAGCTGACGCGACTGATAGCAGACGACGCGTTCAACGCCTTCGAGATCGTACTGCATTAATGCACAGCCGATTGCAAAATCGCTGGCATCACACACCACATGAAATGGCCTGTCCTGATCGGCTATTGCTAGGACTGGGGATTGTATCAAGCTCTGCTTGATACCATCAAAAAAAAGCGCTGGCATTCAGCGTTCCATGAACCACCTCTCGTTCTTTTTCAACAAGCGAGGAGAGGTGCACAGTCATCTCGGCGTAATTGCGTGAATACTCACTGCCAAATACGCCGCCTAGCCCATAGGAATTTTCGAAGACCTTTGACATCAACTGGCTCAGGCCAGTCGGTGATCGCCTTGATCTTTTCGGGATCAGGACGTACACCGTTCTTACCAACGATGCACCCAAGAAGTGGTATTTCGCTTGCTGCAAATATACACTTCTTAAGGTTTGCATACAATTGATGCTTTCGCATGATTGTAAGAACCTGTCGGACGTGGTACCTGTGAACCTCAACATCCGACTTTCCATCCATAGCCGACTATGGATGAATACGTCATCGAAATAACTCGGCGCGAATTCTCGTACTGGTCTCAACAGATGTGATACACATCTGTTGAACATGGCAGAAATGGCATTACTGAGCCCTAATGGCATTACTAGCCATTCCCAGAGCATGCCGCTAGGCGTGCTAACTGCGGTATAGGGTATATCCCGTTCCCGCATAAGGATTTGATAGAAGCCGTCCATCAAATCCATGGACGAAAAGATGGTACTCTTTGACATACCATCAATGATTACGTCCTTCCTCGGTATCGGCGTCTGAGCCGGTACCGTTGCGGCGTTCAATTTGTTAAACGCGTGCACTATCCGCCACCCTCCTGTTGCTTTTCGACACAGAAGGTCGGAGAGCTATGTGGGGAAGTTAATTCCCTCACATGGCCCTCAACTAAACGATCGGCAAAGAACTTGTCGATCGCAAGTACTTGTTCACGAGGCAGTGGCCACTGCTTCATGACACAGTACTTCGAGCCTGGTTTAGGCTCGACTTCGTGTCGAATACCTTTATCCTTCGGTAATTCACTTTCGGAACAGTTTCAGGAATACATCCTTGAATTCAACCAAATCTTCATTAAAGGATTTGTCTTGAGCGATTCCCATGATTGGGAGTCATATCGCTCAATTCGTGTCTTTTCATCTAGGACACTCTCGTCCATAGATGAACTACTGAGAACTCTCTCGTTCTCAGTAAACACTTATTGCTGACCTTATGTCGGTTACACACACTCGTCGTCAGCGACGAGTATGCAGATCTGCTTGACTTTGCCACTACGCAGATCGCGCAAGAACCTTTTTATGTTCGAGCGTTGGCAACTGAGTGATCTCCCGAAGTTAACTTCGGAGGCGCAATCAGATCGGGTGTATAAGCGCCTACACATGATCCGTTATTGACTATGACATTCAATGTCTCTGTCATTTCCTGGGGACTTATTCCCTCAGGCTTCGAAGGACTTATTCTTCGTCTTCCCGGGGACTTATTCCCGCGGGTTTCGGGGAACTTATTTCCGCCGTATTTGTAATCTTGGGACTTATTCCCTTTACTTCCTCTAGCTGGGGTTGCGCAACCACACAGCGAGATCCCTCTACGAAAGACTCTCCAGTCGATCTAGGATTATCGTTTCGCTTAACCTGAGCGATCGATTGTTTCTCTTCTAGATGTTCCCCGCTAGGGATACATCTTTGTCCCAGTCCACCCGACTTATTCGAGTGGTGGACCTTCGGCGCAGCCTGTGTTTCCTCACAGCCGCCGGAACTTTGCTCCGAAGTGTAACCGTTTGGTACACTAAGGTTTTGTGCAGTCGTACTAACGACCGTACCACAAGTGAGGCCATCGCACTCACTCGTAGTACATCCACACGCTTGTGGACGCTCCAAAACGTTCATCAGATGGCCATCTGATGAACAAGCGGCAGGCATCGTTACTGTCCGATGTTGCCAGTTTACCCGTGGTTCGTACCTTCTGAGCCACGGTATTCCAAGGATGACATCAAATTTGTCATCCAAATCCAATACGATAAAGTCATCGTCATATTGGGTATCTTCTAGCGTATAGTGAATCTTCACTATACGCTTCATGAACTGTTACGGATGCGCCTGTCGCAAGACGTACCGTCATCCTCGTAGGAGGTGTGTCACATTCACTGAATTTAAAGTGACCATCTTCTAGCGATTGGCGTTGCACAAAATTGTTGGACGCCCCACAATCGACTAGAGCTCGAAGGGACAACTTATTCGTCACTTCGAGTTTCAAGATAATGAGTGAGATCTCATTACCTAGAGCAGCAACACACAATGTCTGTGTGTTGGGAGCAACCTTCATCAAGAGGCCTACAAATTCTCTTGACGTTGCTGGATCAGTAGAGTGCTCCGCACCTACTGATCCTGTCCGTTTTGACGGTCCATCCCGTTGTTGCGTCTTTGCACCAACTGCGGACCTCGTCCCTGCCCCTTTCTCATGGGTGGACGGTCACTACGCCCAGTGTCGCGAGACACTGGACGAGGGGCACTACACTCGTAAGCGTAGTGTCCTGTCTTTTGACATCTGTTGCATCTCTGCAACTACTTGTAGCCTGTAGAGCGGGCCTTCTCGCTCTCAACATAACAGAGTTCCATCGGCTCTGGACCTCCGCTGTCATATCGTCTCGGTTGACGATATGATGTCGAGCTGGCGCGAGCCTGTCTCAGACTGAAGTCTTCCTGCTCCGCAATGGAAATGGCTTGTTCTAGTGAATCTAGTTCAAGCCGGAACAGGTGAGTCTTGACACGGGACCATCCGCAAGACCCTGCATGAACACCAAAACCAACGTGTGTTCATCAACCGGGTTGGAAACTTATACAGCTCGTGAGATGTCGTATATGTTGAGCGTAAGCGTGCCACATCACGCTTACCCTGACTTGAGCTTCAAAGAGTTCGGTTCGGGCTCTGAACTCAGCTCTGGGCGGTTCAAACGTTTGTCTGAGCCGCGACTTGGAAGACTTCCAACGGCCCAAACGCATATGGGTCGTGCAGCTTAAGCCCCAGTGCCCAAGTCTTGGCACGTTCTGCCAGATTTGACTGGGCAAATGCAACTTGCATATCCCCGTCGTCGATGCGACGCGCCCATATGGCGTCATCAATTCGACGAACCATCTCAAGAGGGAGTCTTCTTCGACTCCCCCCCTATACTTTGAGATGTCAATCTTCAAAGTCTCGGGTCGACGCAGGTACATCGACCCGCCAGCAGCAGCCTGCTGCTGTCTCAGCAGTTCAAACTGTTGAGCACCCTGTTCTCTCAACAACTCTGCTTGTTGAGAACCTTATTGGTGAAGCAAGGCTACTTTCTCGCGTTCAGCGTCAAGTTCATTTTGAATGAACTTGGCGATAGTAACATGTTGGGCATCTCTATTGGAGAGCCTCTAGCATGACGCTAACAGCATGGATGCCCATGGTCGAACCCATTCGTTCAACCGCATCCCATTCGACATCGCTCAAATGGGAGTAGCCGTCACGCGTAGCGTGAAAGCTTTTGGTCATCTTCATCATCCAACATATTCATATTGGATGTGGAACGCGGTCCTTGGACGGACTACGAGGTGCTACCAGGGTGTAACGGGGCACCCTGAAGCTTGTACTGGTGACAGTACAAGCTACATATTCTGATGACAGAATAAGGCGGTGCCTCGTAACTTCACGTACACTCGTACGTGCAGAGGAAGACAGTAAGAAGAAGCGGAGTACTTGGTTAAAGTAAAAAGTAGAGGCTGTATTTATAATAGTTAATGTCTGCAATAAATCACTATTTATCTTCATCTAACTATGTCTAAATACAAATGTATAAAAATCAATTATCTGCTCACCACCTTCATTTGCGTGCGTCTGTCGTGGCGCGTCTTCGTTGGTTGATATAATGGCCTATATCAGCCAATTAGGGAACTACTTCGTAAGTGCTACGGAATAGGTTTGTCCTTATGACAATATTCTGAGAATATAACTCTTATAGTTATATTCTGGTAGCAACTTCTTATAAATTGTTATGTAACGATTCACCCCCGTTACACATGGGCTTTAACCTGTAGAGTATTTGAAAATGGTTACACGACAAGCAAATTTGGTTCTGTTATGTCTTTTTTCGTGAGCACTGCTTTCTCTCTTCTGCTTTGCCCCCAGCCATGCTTTCCTGGGCTTCCTTCTTTCCTAACTTTAACTGGATTTTGTTACAGCCTTGCAACCGCTGACCATATATTCACGCCGGATCTGACATCCGTTCCACACTACGCCCATGAACCTTTCTGGGAAGGCCAGTTTTTCCCATCAACTAGACTCACCTTTCCAACACACTTCACTTATTCTAATGATAAGCTTACTAATAAATTTAAACTGACAGCGTTCGTATTCTCAGAGATTTTATTTTACAACAACGTAATCTTGCCATGGTATCAAACATCTGTCAGTGGATGGTGATTGTCAAATCGAATGACATTGCACGCGACGTTCTTCGCCCTTGGGTGACATGAACAAACTATAGCAATTATACAAAATGATAACAAAGGTACTATCGTAACGTTTCATAATAGAAAAACGATTTCAATTCTATTGGAAAATTAATGAATGTTCTCGAATATTGGAAGGGATATCTTAGTTCTTTAAGTTTTCTAGAATTTTAAACGCGTTTTCAGGCAACGCCGAAATCTAGAAGTTCGGCAGCCAAGCTACGCAAAACAAGGCTACGTGATTGCATGCATGATGTATACAAGCACCGAAGCATTTGCCCAAAATCAGCGATAACTTGAAAGACTTATTTATTTAAATGCTGAGTACATATAAATATTGGTAGTAGAGTAGTGACCGAATCCTTCTACGTAAAAAAATGTTTGATGCTTGCTAATTGCATCATATCGGTAAAAAGTGAAAATCCTCATCATTGTATAATTCGATAGGAAGAACTACAGATACGAAGATTAATTAATTTTGCTAATCTGCTCTTTTAAAAATTATTCATAAGACAGTTAAAAGCATTTGGGTGGTACTGGTAGTGGCCGGGCACCCACCATAGGTAGTACTTTGTATTCCTTCACATTTGAAGAATAATTTTTAGGTCACAGTAGCCACGTCATATCCTCTTTTCGATGAAAGCATGCAAAATAGGTAACTTCCTGACTCCATGTCGGTCAGTTTACTATTGTGATACGGCCTATATCTAATATTCGACGGTAAGTCCTGCTTTTAACAAGCGGTTCCATTTGTAGATCATCCTTTCAGAGGGGTTCAGGCTTTTTGGTGTAGCTATCATTGATTTTCTCATATAGACTTAGGTTAGGTGTGCCTTTTAAGATATATTTGGGTCTCGTCCATGGAAGACTTTTGTGTACGAACATTTTTAACATACACTAACATTTCCAAAAAAGGTTGTTTTTTGCTAATATAAGCTGTGCCAGCTGTCACTAGTCTCCATTTTTTCGCGAAGGACCATGATTTTCAATTATTTCTTCTTCTTTATAAAAATTGGCGAAGCTGGGGCGGAGTCGAACATTACGGTGAAACCTACAGGACTGAGAGGAGTGATAGTTGAAACTACGGCGTTGCCAGCATGACACTGCGTTGACGATCTGAACCTGAGGAGGCACTTGTTGCAGATCAATATGGATGGAATTGACAAGGTGTATGGGCCAAATCCATCAAGAGTACGCGCAAGCGGCAAGTGTTCTGGAGCGTATCAGGCCCGACAATTGCATCTGTAACGGTAACAAGGGCACTCCGGCTCTGCGCGCTCAGGAAGAGTGCGATCAATCCAGTTTTTAACTCACGTTATGACAGGTGATCATCGTACAAAAAGAACAAACAACCTCCACAAGTTTCTTTACGCGATAGTAAGCTTACGCGCTTGTTTCAGGCAACCTCTTACCAGACGAAGGCAAAAGCAAAAATTGTCATGACGGTCGCATCTTACTTGTGCAGATAAAAGTATCGAGGCGCTTAGAACTTTGGTGTGCGGCGTTGCCTTTAACAAACGTCGAGAACAAGTTTAAGTTAAATGGGATTTTGAACTCTCCCGACCTTAAAAAATTTGATTTCAGACAAAGAAATTAAGCTACTTCAGCGCATGCTCCATGCTGTAGGACCTAAAAGACTGATGTGCACCTTTAAAAGCCCAAAAACAAGTCACTTTGATATTAGCCAAGAAAGTTGCCAGGTCGGATATACAGTTGATGTGGATGAAAGGATATTCAGAAGGCGAGGAACGCCCATTGTACAAAGAGCTGGCTGTAGTTGACTCACCAGCCGATTTTCAGAAGTGTCACAAGTCTGATAGGGTTCTTTTTGGCATTGCCTCAAGTAGGAATATCAGGCTGGGATCCTATTCCGCCACATTTCAATCATCAGGTTTAAGCATACTGTTAATTTTTGCACATTAGCCCAGAAAATAATAAACAAGTAAATGTGTCATGCTATTAATTTCTTTATTTTTTCATTTAATATTAATTCTAACTTAGGTGTCGGCGCCTATCTGTACTGCTTTTCAAGATGGTGCATCTCAGTACCTCAACAAACCAGCAGTATTAGCTTTCTTCCATCAAAATATTTGCAGGCAGCAACTCCATATTGTCATGCTGCTGATTGCATGATGAGTTTGACGTTTCGCGTACCTTCAAAATGCCCCACCACTTATCATCACAGGAAATTATGCTTACAGTCTTCCTTGTTTTTAATCGTTGACTCAGTCCGCTTTAATGAAAAGATTCACTAGTGACAGCAACGTTATTGGCCTTATTTTCTTCGAATACAGATTACCAGTTTACAAGTAGAGCCCACCTACCGCATTACTCAATTCGCAGCATCACAATGCTTATGCGTAGGACTACTCTACAAACCGGCTAGAATACCGACATTGAATGATAGTCGTGTCCCGTATTTATCGCCATAGTACATCAACGCAACAATCGATTTGTAATAGCCAAATGCAGTATCTCCCTTCGTCATTTTCATTCTTAATCCTGTCATGTATTGTACTTTACTTCCATTTAACTAAGCTGCCAAATGATGTGCTTTATTGGAAAGTAATCGTCTAGGACCGTGAGACAATATTTTTCTGATTGTACAATATTTTATTATTAAGATCAGCTCAAATTACCAAGCAACGCTGTGTTTATTACCGCCCCATCTTCCACGCTTCCTACCAACATTCACTAAATGTTCTGACTTTGCTGTAACGAGGTGGTCGATCGCAGCACGTCATCGACGTACAGCATACGATGGGCCACTAGTCCAGTTTTTTATTGACATACATGCACAACTTGATTTGTTGTTTAAAAAATTCTCGAGATGTTACCATGCGTTACTTCTTCGTTCCATACCAGATCCGGACTGATGTAAACTTCTAAAGTCTCGTCATAGTGATCATTTCACCTTTGCTTCATATTATATAAATGATTTGGACATACTGCTGGATTTTTAGATCAGTATTTATACAGGATAATTCGACATCTCCTCAATATATGTCAGTCTGAAGTTGGTGTCCAGTGGGATTTGTCAGCACTCAGAATGTTGTGAATTTCGTAATATAGGTGAATAGGAGGTCGAAGACATCTTTTGTTTGGCTATCGCGGGTTTCTTTGCCCCGCAAAGCTAGGGTCAAGTATGGTGACATATCCATCAAAATCAGTTTCAACCAATAAAGAAATGTGGGGTTCTTTACCGATCTCAATACATGGATGACGAGATACTTTATAATACACTAATAATTTTCCTGGACACACTGTGATCGGCTTGACATTATTCTTATTTTTAACGACTACACATTAATTACGCGTGAAGGCCGACATTTCGACTGTTCCCTATCCAACGGCCTCATCACCTTCGACTTCATTCAGCCCTTCACCTTTGTTTTTAACGTGGTATCTTCTTCTATTCATGCTGCTGCATGTGGAGCTACGATGAAGTTCTACCGTCAGGACCTCACAGAGTGATTTGAAGAAATAATTTTCTTAAATTTGTATGTGTACGAATCAATTTTACGCATAGTGCGTATTTCATCTCTCACTTTATCAGGACGTTAAGCAGTTGCAGTGCCTCAGCAGAGCCATGACTTCCCCTGCGTCAGAATTGTACTTCATTTAGCGTCCAGCAATTCCAGAATTTTCGGACATAGTCAC